ATCAAACCACTTAGCTTATTAAGAACCACAAAAGATCACAGATGTAAATAACTGCCTAACAGCTGCAATGCACTTCATTAGGTACAGTCAAGCTTTTCTCCCACAGGAAGCAGGCACCAGTAATTACTCTTTCATTAATTCAGGGGTCTCTTTCAGAAGAACAGTAGCAAACTATTCACATACTAAAACACCCGGAGAACTTATCTCTCCTAGAACAGCATCTTCTCTACACGCATGTGAGGAACTACTACACAAAGAAGCCTAATATAGCTTTTTTCTGAAATGCTGATTTTGTTAAACATTAAGCAAAGCTGTATGATATTTTCATGCTGGAACTAAAGAAAATAAATCCAGTGATCCAGTGCCTAGAATAAAAAAACACATGGCTATTATCATGTCCTAATCACTATCTCCTTAATATCACTAGGCAAGTTATCTTTTAGTGAAAGTGGTAAGGTCAGAGTGAGCATATGTTTGGTCTTATCTGATCTTTTGCTTTAAGCACCCTGTGATTTTTTTCTGTTATGCCCTATAATTATTTTCTGGTATTCTCTACCTGCACTTCTATTCCCAAATTCCATAAAATACTAAATAATCACTTCATGTGACTGTATAAATAAAAGCATCTGACCAGAATGAATGAGCCATGGGATACTTTTTTCTACCTTAAGTAAAGACGTATTGTTTGAAGTTTTAATACAAAAAAAGCAAATATATTGTTTACAAAATGACCAGTTTTCTTAAAGAAGACTTAAGTAGTTAGTTACACTTCAAAACTCACAGCTAATGAAAGCTTCTAAAGAACTGTCTCCACATCAACCAGAAAATTCATGAATGTGAACATAAACAGGGCTTCATAATCACAAAAGTGAGTAAAAACAAAGTTCCTAAACAAGAGAAGAACAAGCTGAGTGGATAAAGAAGGGAAATGAAAAACAACCAAAGCACAATACTTCGTTTAAAAAATGGCTTTTAATATAAATCTGAATACAAAAATAACAAAAACACCTTGCAGTCATCGCAAACAAATCCTCAAAGTTTTCTCTCATCAGTTCCCTGACAATTTGGCAAGTGCTTGTCTTCTCTGTTCTGCAGTCATATACTCACAGGCTTCCAAAATATTTACTACAATTAAAGTCTGTTGAACCGTTTTTGCTTTTACCCATATTCTTCCATTCATTCCCAGCACCAGCTCAAATGGGTATAATTGTGACAATTCCTGAATTATTTCACATTTGGGAGCCAAGAGTCTGTAAATAAGATCAAAAAAAAGTCAGAGAAAGAAGTGCTTACGTTTACAGACACCACATTGTTATCATCAGTAACACCAGCAGCACTGCTGTTACGGCAGCTACTAAAGCAACACCAAAAAGTAAGATTATCAAGTTGAATATACATCCAAAATAGTTACACAGTATCAATATAGCCACCTAAAAAAGTACAAGAGTTGTGAATTCAGCAGGGTTTTTTCCTAATTAAGATTTGGAAGTAATACCTGACCAAATTTAAATGAATTGATAGTGTTATAAGAATTGTATGATTTAATAAATTCTAAAAGTACACTATTTGACAAAGTGACATCTTTAAAGTGCTGCGATTTATAAATTTGACACCCAAGAGGCATCTTTCAAAACAGGATTTCCTTTCTACTTCAGGAGACAATATTAACAACAGTAAACAGACCACTTTATTTTTATTAGCTGGCAGCATACTGAAAAATAAAGTTCTCAATAATACTGTAATATGTCTAGGATTAAATCAAGCTTGAACAGCTTCACAAAGAAGAAAAACATATCAGTATTTAGCAGTTTACTTGTAATATACTGTTATTGCTTTACTTGCATACAGACAAAATTTGGAAAACAAACAGAATGGCTGCAAAAAGTCTTTGTATCAGTTCACACTGACTTCTGATGGGACATATAAATCAAACAAATAATTACTGGTGTGAAATAGTGGCTCTACATCTCCAGATTGCTTATCCAAAGAACAAAACCAAATAAAAAAACCCCACCCAAAAGGCAACAACAAAGCTTGACTATCATTTATCCATATAATCTGGTATTTCTTGATAGTCACAAAAAAATCTTGTCTTTACATCAGCATAAGAAACTCCAAACCTCTTTAATCAGCTGTCAGCCAAACGTACATCCCCACTATTACATTAAGCAGAAAAAGGACAGTAAGCATTTCCATTTTTTAAACTCCAAGGTAGTCTGTACATACCTGAAACACTATCCTGAATGTTTGACATTGGAAAATAAACCTAGCTAGGACACTAGTTTTATTTTCCATGCTCCCTTGGCAACCACATCCCTTTTTTTTAAACAGGTCATGCACCACCATACAGAAAAGCATCTAAATCTCTTAAAAGGAAAAATAAATGCTTCTTCTAGGTCAATATTCATACTCCATTCAGCACAACTGGTATAAATACACTACAAGAACTACACACACCGATTACCAAATATCCCACACTGCTCGGAGGGAACAACTGGCAAATCCTACCTACCATATTACATACTAGAGCAACTACTTATGTTTCTTAGTACTTACTTTCTTATTAGACCTAAGGAAACTTTAAAGAGGAAGCCATCTTGTCCAATTATTCCCATTCCACTTGATTTTCCACTGCTGTCTATACAGACCATCTCTGGTTCCATGTCTTTATTTGCTACAAGGAACTGACCATAAATAAGATCTCCCACCTAAACAAAGCAGTGTCAAAAAGCAAAAGTAAAAGAGAAGATCATACTGTACATTTGTAACAAATACTGATTATTGATAAAGATCCTCTAGTGAGGCAACAAAATAGATTTAAAACAGTAATGATAGAAAACTAATTTTCATTTTCTCTTCTTCTACTAAAGACAGCATCCTCCGCGAACAATTATCTTGTACCAATACTAGAATTTGTAAGATAAAAAGACAGAATTTTATTTAAAGGAGTTAAATAGCTCCAGTCTTTTTAAATACCATATATGAATTCCTCTTTCTTCAGACTCTAATGATATTTAAAGCCTAAGCAACCTGCTCTTGTAATCATTTATCAGAAGAAAAAAAAAATCACAAAGCTATTTTGTTTTTCTTTATATTTTTCTTCCATTTTTACATTCTGGTGATGATATTTCATCAGAGTGCAGAAAGTGTGGCATGCATGTGCCATACAACTGTTTATAACAGTGTCGCTAAAAAAAAAAGCAAAACAGATACAAACATTTTATACCAGCATCACGTTGCATAAAAGCTTGCTTTAAAACCTTAACGTCATAGTGTCCATTTGGATGCACATTACTCATGAACTGCATGTGCTACTGGCAGTGTTATGGGAAAATTAAAATGCGAGAGCAAGGAAGCTTACGACCTGACAGAGATCAAACTACCCTGGTCACAGTGCTCTTAGGAAACCTCTCAAAGGCCACAGTCTAATCTTGCAAAAACCTCCGAGGAGGGCCCAGGAGAAATCATTGCAAGCAGACCGGCACTCCCCATTTAACAGGCGACTTATAAAAAACGCTTTTAACTAAGAGAAGCTACTAAAACGTAACAGAAGAATCACCAAACGACACGGCTACAGCATCACCGCCAGCTCACCAGCGCACCCACCTGCACGTTCGGCCTGTTCCTCTTCGTGGCGCCCTCGAAGGCCAGGTAGGACAGGGACGCCAGCTCGCTGCCGCCCACGTCCAGCTTGAACACGTCCCCCACCTTGGCCGTCACGATCCCAATAACGTGGTCACCCTTCACCGGCACGTACTGGAGCGGGGCAGGGGCACACACGGGTCAGGGGTTTCACACACACACACACACGCACATCCCCCAGTCCCCCCGCGCCCTCACCCGCTTCTGCTGCGAGTCCACCCAGTAGGCGCCGGGGCCCGCGGGCCGGTGCCGCAGGATCCCGCACTTGGTGACCAGCAGCCCGGCCCCGCTCCGCCGCAGCCCCGGCCCGCACAGCAGCCGCCCCACGGGCGCCGCGCCCGTGCTCAGCCGCAGCCGCTCGCCCTCCGCGCCGTCGTCGTAGAGCGCGGGCAGCAGCAGCAGGTCCCCGGGAAGCACCACCTGCCCCACGCAGGCCTCGGCCGCCCTGCCGCGCTCCGCCGCCATGGCCGCGGGGCTGCCTGGGCCGGGCCGGGCGGCTGCGCTCTGTGTGCGCGGGGCGCCAGCGACACCCCCCGGCCGGCGCCTTCTCACCACCTCCCGTCCCGGAGCTGATGGAGCTGGCTCGTCTCACCTCTCACGGAACTCCAGCACTCCCGTGTAGCTTTTTATTCAGGGAAGCAGTCCTTCTGCAGCCTTCCATTTCTGCCTGGGAACTGCTAAGATAACGTGAGCGCCGTTAAGCTTCAGAATTAACATCCGCGCTGAATTAAGTCTTCCAGCTGTAATTATACGCTGTAAATATACGTCCCAAATCTTCGTTCGCGAAGCCTAGCCACGAATAGAAATTATATGCAGGGTTTTTTAATACCTGGTTAGAAGTTTGCCAGTAAAACAAACAACTGGTCAAATTTGAGGTGAATGTCAGCCAAGGAGAAAATACAACTCTGCCTTAAAGCTGGAAATTCAAATTCCATAATAAAGCATTTATTGAAAAACGCACCCTGTACTTGGCTATAAAGTTCTTATTCTATGTTAGCTCAGGTTCCTTTTGCTAAAATCCCAAGAGTATTTTCTTTCCTGAACTGCTTTCTAGTCTTTATCTACGTGTCCGCATGCATTTATACACAGATGTGTATAATCCCCTAAATTAACGAAGAAGGATCAGCGCGTTGCCAGTTGATTGCAGACAGACAGGGCTGGCTGAAGATGTTGATGGACACCCCTTTCTGTTGTGAGTGGAAAACGGCCACGGAGAGAGGGCGTCAATCGCATTTAAACTGGCTTTTCCCCTAGGAGATATCCTCCAGGGAGCGGTGGAGGCGGTGCTGCGGGGCTCGCAGCGCTGTTGCGGGGCAACCCCGCGCGTCCGGGGCGGTGCCGGAGCGGGCGGGCGGCGCCGGCAGCCGCTGGGCCGGGCAGGGCGGGCGGTGGGAGCGGGTCAGGCTGGGGTTGCTGTACCGGGGACAGCAGGAGCAGGGCTGCTCTCCAAGGGAAGGCGAGCAGCTACAGTGCGGCGCCAGAAGCAAAGAGGAACCAGTACCACATCCGAGTAACTTTCTATGGGTAACGCGCCAGGTCCTCCCAGGAAATCCGCGCCCCAGGAACATGGATAAGGAGCGGACCCGCCCCGCGTGTAGCGCAGGGGAGGGGTGGAGGCCCCGCCTGTGCTTAAATAGAGCCTGGGGGCGGAGGGTGTGGGTGGCGGTGCAGGTGAAGAGGGTTGGGATAATCCAGGTCTGTTCGTGCCCGCAGGCCCTCGCAGCTCGCCCCGGACTCGCCGCGTCAGGAGCCGCCAGAAAGGCAGAGGGTGGCACGGAATTCCCACCTTGGCCACCGCGCCCAGGGCAGTGCCAAGAGCCCCGGTTCTCTGCCCCGCCCGGGCCAGGGCTGTGCCAAAGGGTTTGAGCGCCCTTGGCAGTAACGGAAAGGTCGTGTTTGCTGAAATAGGGCGAGTAAAACCTTGTGTGTGCTCAGAGTTTTGTGCCTTTCATGACTGCATAGAGTGGTTGCTTCAGGCCCTGGTCTCGCGTACATATCTTAAAGATAGTTATGTTAGTTCAAATTAAAATCTGCCCTTGATCATTCACAGCACTTCACTGTTCTTAGAAGACTTATATACAGATATTCAGTGTCCTGTTGTGCTTTTAAGTTTTTTTTTTTCCTCTCATGTAGACCTGGAATTACCAGAGTATTTCCAGGTAGTTTGTGAAATATACATATCTAAACAATAGGGGGAGGAGGAGTTGAGCATTTTTTTTCTGCAGTGATTGGTGTAACTGAACTATCACTGGAGCTTATAAGAACTAAACCAATACTAAATTTAAATAACTTTCCTGTATAAATTGCAAGGTTCATAAAAAGTAATGTCATATTCAGAGTTAACTGCCTGAGGCAACAATTTTTAACCCCCCTAATTTGATTCTGTCATTCATAGTTAATATCTGTTTGTTTCCTGTTAGTAGATTTGGATGGAGTCTCAGTATCTGAAGCAATGCCTGGGAGATTGCTTGAAAAAGGGACTGGCAGAAGTTGTAGAGCATCGGCCAGCAGATCCAATAGAGTATCTTGCACATTGGATTTACCGTTACAGAAGAAACTTAGATGAAGAAAAAAAGGTGGATCCAACTTAAGCAAAAAAGAAAATCATTACAATATAATTGATGGTATATATCTCTGGTTTTTTTAATTGGTTCTGTGTAACCTCTGAAATAGAGAATGTTGGAGAGTGCTGAGCTGGAACAAGAACGGGAGGCAGCACTAGCAGAGCTTGAAATATTAAGACAAAGGGAGGAAGAAGAGCGAATGATCCAGCAGAAACTTGAAGAACAACGTCAGGTTAATAATAACTTAGTAATACATAATTCTAAATAGCATATGGTGCTGTGGCATCCTGTAGCTCTTTCTATACTTCCAATCTATAATGGTTTTGATAAAGTTGGCATGAAACAAGTATTTTAATCTCAATTTTCTGAATAACTGGAATTATTAGTCATCACGTGGGTAGGAAAGCTTACTATGCAGTAAAATGTTATTAAAAATGAAGGCACTTAAGCTGAAAAGAAACTTATATGAGAAGTAGCTGAAAATAAGTAGACTATCCTCTGTAGTTAATTATGAGCAAGAGCTGGTGCAAATAAAGCTAGAAATCATTGCAAAAATGCTAGGAGGTCTGAGAGTAATAACCAATCATTATCTCAAGCTGCTCCAGTGTAATATCAGTAATGCAAAAAAAGGTAATGAGAATGTTTACACAATTAGAGAGTCCTGAAAATGGTTGGGAATCAATGAATGAAGATTGCTTATTTCAGCAGTATGTTTAGCCTGATGCAGTGAGATGCCTTTTTCTTTCCTTAGCTGCCTGAGCTTTCTGTTGGCATAAAGCAATTAGAATCTTGTACTGTTTGGACTTATGAGAAATAAATATAACATCTCTGTTTGTAGCTATTCTTTAGAAAGGAGTCATGTGAACTTGATAATGTGTAAGAACCTCAGTGTTGCTATGGTGATGTTGACATGATCTGACTGGATTTCTTTACATGGCTAACATTCACAATGTTAAAAGTGTAATTTTGAATCCATGCTGCTCACATTAAGCCCAGTTCTAGTGTAAGATGCATTCCTTCTATTTCGCTTGCAATTTTTAAATTCAAAATTTCCTGATTTGCAGACCAGCAGTTATGTGCTGAAGGATTTCATGAGAGATTTAAAATAGTAAATAGAAATAAGAATTGTGTCTAGAGATAATTCACAGAGAATTAAATAAATCATTTCATATAAACTATGGGAAAAATATTGAATGATACTCATGTTAGATGCATTTCTTAACCTAACAATTTTGTCTGTAGTCAAATACTCAGGCAAATTTTGATTATATGTACCAAAAAGGAACATGAAAACTAGTTACAACAATATGACCATATTTGTTATAACTGCTCACAAAATGCAAGAGCTAACAGTATTCTCTGGTGCTGTTGAATGTAAATACTTAGATTATGAAGTTTCTGAAGTTTTGATGCAATAGGACTTATGCTTACAAATAATAAACACTTTCTATTAGATATTTCCAGTTGGAAATACTAAAGGTTGCTGATGGACGTGATTAACGTTAATGATACTGCTTACCAGTCTTTTCTATAGATTTCATACTATATTAGTTCATCTATTTATGCTAGATACTATACAAAGTACCAGAGAGCTCAATCCAAAGTATAGGAGACAACTAATATAGACTGCTACACAGCATGTGGAATGAGACAGTATCCAAAGTGTGTACCTAACTTCAGTGAACTGCTTCTCCTTCCCCTTGGTAGTAAAGCCTTCTTATCCATGAGAGTCTAAAACCTTTGAAAATGTTGAGCCAGATGATACTGAAAGGACTTTGTTACTAACACTGCAGTTAAGTTTTATGCTTCCTTTTTGTTTTATTTGTGATTTCAGTTATGAAATCCATTGTAAGCAACGTGGTGGAAATATGAATGTGGGTTTTTTTCTTTCTGATTTGTCCTTTCTTAAACCAATTGCAGGCTGAGTTGGAGCAGCAAGAACGTGAGAAGGCTGAGTTGGAGCAAGAACGTGAGAAGTTGGAACTGCAGAGTGAAGAACACAACATGCAGTTGCAGCAGGAAGATCAAAAGGTTTAAGCCAAAGCTTAGTTGGTAGTTTGAAAATACCATGAATCAGCCATCTTTTCTGAATGCAGGCATCAATTATGAAACACAAGGCAGGAGCCCATTAGTTTTGAATTAACATATAATTTTTTTAAAAAATGTAAATGGGGGAAAAATGTCTAATACTCTGGTTTTGCAGTCTGAATTTTTTGCCTGAACTTTAATTAGTATATATTCAGAACAGAGCATATATTTATTGCAAAATTTAGTATAGGGCCATTTTAGTTGATGCTTCCACATTCCTTCGTGGTATTTATGAGAAAGTTATAACAATATAAGCATGTCTAACTTAAGTATTGAGACAGTAATGTTTTACAGAGTGTTAGTGTAAAGTCCTATGCTGTACCTGGAAAAGGAACTGTGGTTTTGAATTGTGATACCTCTTGATTCTGAGATCATCCTGGTGCATGGGAATTTATACTAACAGAAGAGTGTGTAAACAGATGTCTGAGTCTTTTAATATGGTCTTTTAATGCTATTTCAGTAAAAACATAGACTGATAATTGTTTATCTCAATAAAACCTTTAAATGTAAATATCTCTTAAATTTATGTGGAGTACATAATATTTGAGAAATACATAAGTTTTTAGAACATTCTGTTAATATGCTGACAGAACATAATTGTAGAAAGGTGAGAGTATGAAAGTGTCAGGAAAAAATGAATAGGTAGAAATTTAAACTGAAATTGCTGTTATTAAAAAAAAGTTTTAAGCATACTAAGACCTTATTCACATACTAACAAATTTTATAGTACTTACCTTAAGTGTTCTCCTTATATTGATATATAATGTCTTTTTAACATACTTAAAATATTTTCTGTAGATTTCATGACATGGAGTATTTTTAACTGAAAACTGGTTTTCATTACCATAGGAAAATGAAAAGACAGTATCTGAACTCACAGATAGACCTGGAACACCTGCTGAACTTACAGATAGACCTGGAACACCTGATTTGACCAAAGCTGAGGAGGAGCTAGATCAGAGTGGACAGCCCGAGGTAAATGTTTAGAAAGAGATTACAAATGAATGATTCTCACAGATTCGCTTTTCTGTGCTGACCTATCGAAGGGTTTAAACTTTTACTGGTTCTCTCCTATGGCTTTAAGGGATGGTATCTTGGCCACAACCTACAAACTGCCCATAGCCTGTTCTCTAGTACAAGTTAAGCCATTCTAATTTTTTAATTCCTTTTATACTTGACAGTCCAAGGAAATGAGAGAACATGAATCAGCCTTCATTTAAAGCAAGGCAAGGCAGTGCTTTTAACAGATGATGCCAACTCCTGCAAAATCACTGTTTTCTGAGTATTCATTGGTCATAAAGAGACTGATACCTGTCTGACATTTTCCAGTTAGAGTATTCCAAGTGTGATAACTTGAGATTTTGATATACTAGTTTTAGTATATTGTTAGCAGAAAGCTTTTTCCTTTATTGACTTTAATAGTTTGCTCACTTTACTTCTGGTATCAGTAGTGTAATTGTAGCTCAGAATTTATATCGTGATATTAATATGCTTTATGCTTAAATCTACTTTAATAACAGCCTATTTTTTGAGTGTTCTCTAAATATGTTATTAACATACTTATGACTATTCTTATGGTCAGGTTTTCACAGGTGTTTTTTCCACTAAGGTAAATCAGATGAATTCTCAATATCTCATATAGCCCCAATTTTTATAATTTTCTGATAATTATATATGAAAAATTTTTCTTGAGGCTTCAGGCATATTTTATGGGTTCTTGAATAAGCAAATTGCAAAAAGTTAAAAAAGCTAATAAATGTGCCTGCTACTTCTTACATGTGCCATCTTCCAAGTTTTCATGCATAAAGTTGTTTAAAGTTAGATTACATTGGCCTTTGGTAATGTTGAGTTTTTACAGTTATATGTTTGTTGAATTAAGGTACAAATTAAGAACAGTCAATAAAGTAAAATATATAGACCTTTACTTTTGAAACAATTCTGCCCTGAGAATCACAATGCTTCATCCAGATTCCCTGGATTTTATAATAAAGTCTGATGATAACATTCATTGTGTTCCACTAAATGAAAGAATAGATGATTATACTGATGAGTACCAACTTGTCTGTCACGTGCAGTTTCTCCAGTTTTCCTTTTAACAAAGTTCAGTGAATTCTGGCAAGTGATAGAATTTTTTTGTTGTTTTTTAGAGTCAAACAGATCTCACAGCAGAAGCAGAAGAAAGTTCCGAACTGACCTGAAAGCAGTAAATATATTTTCTTCTCATTGCTTGCTTATCCTGAAGTGTAGTATCTTGATTTATGTATTTTATATGAAGAACTGGTTTACATACCTGTTGTTTCAGGATGTTTGTATAAAGTCTGTTAATTCTGGCATTCATTCTTCCTTTTTGTTCTTAAACCACTGTAGCTACCATGGCTGACTCGGAGGAAGAAAACTGCAACTGAAATGAGAGCAGCAAATAGATTTTCTGCTTATTGCACATTGATACTTGAAGTGTAACCATAATAAATACAGATAAAATTAATGTGTTGGTGTTATTTGAGGGTAGATGCTACAGTATGATAATTTGAATCTATATTAACAGAGATATTTTTGAAAAAAGATTTTTCAAGAATTTGTATGGTTTCTGATAGAAAAAGATTAGAAGATGAGAAGAGAGTTCTGCACATCAAACTAGGTGCAAAAATCCAATCAGAAGATTTTTCCAATATATTTGGAAGAGATTAATTTAATTCTGTGACTCAGTTGACAGATGTACTAGAAGATCTTGTCTCTTAGAAATCATTAGGTGATTTTTGTAGCTCTGGGTGTTCGCTCTAGGCTTTAAAATAACCTTTTCTGAGTACTGTGTGATACCAGGTGAGCTGCAAGTGTCTGCATATCAGTTTTGATTAGTCAAGTTTTTAAATCTTTCCTGCATTTGTTTTGAATTTGTAAACAAGTTGAATCTACGTGGTCTTTACTAAATACCATTATTACTTCTCAAAACTTCACTTCTAAAAAAATTAAGGACAATATTTAGCTTGATCCATAGTTATCTATAAAAATAAGTTTTATAATCCCTAAAGATGCATTAATTTTTATAAGAACAGATGTCTGTAATCTCTGATATTTTGGTATAGTTGTCAAGAATGTTCCATGTCTGTTCACTATGAATGAAAAAGATATCAGCATTAAGAAATGCTTCAATAAAATGTGCCTTTGTGTCTCAGTGTCTTCTAATACAAGTTAGTTGGACAATTAACATTAAGTCATTGCTGATATTGTATAATGAAAATATCTTTCATTACAAATTCAGTGTGCAGTTAATGCATTCACTGCATTCTTCAGTTTTGGGATGAAATAGATTTTTGCGATAATTTCAGCTTAATTTTTTTATATTATTGCTGTCTCTAAGGGTTTTGCTATCTTTGGCAAACTTAAAAATATCTGTATACTACACAGGCAAAGGTCAATTGCATAATAAATATTTTTTTGCTCTGCATAACTTTTGTTCATGTAGCTCATACTAAGCATAATACTATCAATTTTTAAAAATGTAAGCACTAATGATTTTTAGTATAGTAGTATATTATTTTTCCCCTAAAAATAAAGTATACGTTTTCTAAAGTTTCCTGTGCCCTTTTTTATTGTTCCATTGCTTTTTGAGTGCTTTTAACTAGCATATCTTACATGAATAACCTTAAAATCAAAAGCAAAAAATGTCACTCTACCAGGTATAAATGCTTAGAAATATTTATGTAACCTTTGAAGTAATGAAAAATGGAACTACTTTTGTGACTAGGTGGTCAGGCTTTCTGTCTACATTTAATCAGCACTGGTATAGGTTTGCAATTTCTGTGATAGTCAAGAATCTTTTTGGTGGCATGAACATGCCCTTATGGTTGACATTGCAGTAAACTGATTTTGTCACAGTTTATGATTATACTATTTTAACTGTTACTAATAAATATAATTTTAAGGACGTGCTTTAAGATACTGCAGTTCTAATTACACCTGTTAACACTGTAAGCACAGCAGCTTCCTGTGCCAATTTCAGAGGAGTGGAGTAATTGGATAAATAAATAAATGGAGGTTCTCTTATGAACCAGTAAATATAACTGAATCTTGTTCTTTAGAGTAAAATTTTTAAAAATTGGTAAGTAACTCATGTCTATTTACATTTTATGTCCAATCATGTTGACTACAAAAATTTCAGCCTTCATACAGCCTTCAAATTCAAGACAGTGTTTTAGAACATGCTACAAAGTAATTTTAATAACATATGGCCTTTGCTTTTTAATCTTTTCATAGTATTTGTATCTTTGTTTGATTCTGTTATATGTGTGTCCACTAGAGTGCATCCTAAATAAGCACACTGGGGGCTCTGTCAGTTACAGCCCATGAAAACTGCAGAAAGTGTTTGTCATTTTGTTTCAGTTTATTTTTAACTGACTTTTTCTTTGTAATCCTGCAGGACATATTCCCCATTTTTCTTTCAAAATAGGAACTGAATTTTTGGATGGAAACTCTATCAGAAAATGGCTTAGTAAGGGTCAAAATAAAATAGTGGATTCCAATTTACCTGTTCCTTTGCTGTTATGTACAGAAGGTATTGTTCAAATGTTATATGTAGAAATTCCTGTTTCTTCAAGATTTTATGTGCATAGATGTAGTGCATTATGCACCTTCTGCAGCTTTATAGGAATTTTTTTATTGCATATGGGACAAGAGGGTAAACAGTTCTTGGCTCAGTGCTTTCTTGAGGTGCAAACCAACCTGTAGGTAACTTGGAAATGTAGTTCATGACAAAGATGACTTCTGCTTGGGTGTCTAAACCTGAAGGAGAAATTAAGGCAGCTTAAAATAATTTTTACCTTTTTTTTCTAAACTTTCACCTTCTTTGGAGTATAGCAAACTAGAGCCTGGAACAGGACGACAACAGGTGAGAAGATAACTATTCTAGTTGCTGCACATGATGTGATTTCACAGGTATTAATAGAGTTTTACCTCTGTATAAAATCTGAAGTTGTATATTGAATAAGAAAAAGGCAGTTACCTAAGCTAACAACTTCTATAGCTTACACTTCCTTTGAATACATTTTTGTGGAATGAAGAAGATGGTAGTTTCTACCATTCAGAGGCAGATGGTAGAAACTGTCACTGAAAATAAGGTGCTAAATACTGAAAGAAGATTTATGAAATTGTCATTTTTCCTTTCTTCAGAATAAGAGCAGTCTTATTCAAGCTGCTATCAGACCATGTGCAGATCCCTCACAGAAAGTGCTGATAGTAGTGTGCCCATTCACAGCTGTTCTCATACCAACAATACTGAAGCATAAGGATGAAAACAGATATGAAGCCCAGAATAGGACAAAATGATTCAGATTAACTATCAGTCTGCTCACAAACATGGTAACTCAGCTCTGCAGTGTAAGAAAGGAGAAATACATGTTGCAGCAAGCACATATTAATGTTATCTTTTAACAGAATAGGCTTTATTAAGTTTGCAGTCCCCTTTCTTATGATGGATGGTTTTCATAGTCTAGAGGAACTAACTTATCTTTTTGTAAGCAAAAGCCTTATACAGTAATTTGCTAATGGGAATGGGAGGCAGGTGAATTGGTCTGGATTAAATGTAAAATAGAATTCCTCTGAACTTTGCTAATACAGTTTACTCACATTTGAAGTCAACTGCTTTACTTCTATTCTGCGAAGTTTTTCCTGTACTTAGGTTAGAAAAAGAAATGTTTTCTATTGACTAGAGCTAGAAAAGAGAGCCTAAACCTGTTGCTTGCTGATAAGGACTGATGTTCGTTTTAAAATATCTTACCAGTACACTTGTTTGCTTTTTTGGTTTTGTATTTGTGGTGGAGTTCTTGGTGGTTTCAGAGTTTTGTTGTTGTTGTTGTTGTTTTGTTTTGGAGTTTTTTGTTGTTTAGTGTTTTTTTGCTTTTGTTTTGTTTTGGTGGATTTTTGTTTGGTTTTGGGGGGTTTTCTAAAACTTTTTTTTTTTGTTTTCTGGCGTTACCATTATAATCCCTCACACAGTCATTGTACTTTATACTTGTGTATTTGTTATAACTAATACAATGGAAGAAGTTATACCATTATAAACATTTATATAAACATATATATAGACCAAAATTTGTTGGTCTAATAGTGAAAGGGATAAAGGCCAAGTAGAGTACAGTGCCATTTAATTGAGCTGTCACAATGTAGCAAACTTTTTAAGAAGTTAAGCAGAAGACTCATTGCCAGAATTTGAGAGTTCTCAGATGTGTATATACAACTTAAATGCTGTGGGTCTTCTGTGTTAACCTGCACCTCATAGAATCATTCTAATTAACCAAAATCAGCATTTAACTTAGATCAGACATCAGAATTTTTGTAATCTATGCTATTTTGTATTTGAAATAAATTAGAAGGTGCTACATCATGAAAAACTAGGTTCATTAGGGCCTGTGTGAAGATACTGAATGCTTCCATTTTATCTTTAGTTGTAGGTCATCCAGAATCAGTGGCCAGAAATTGAAATGATTTTATTATTAATATCAGGCATGTTTGTATTATCACCTGAAAGCAAATCCAAGACATACAGTCAAGTAATATACTAAACAGAGAAGTCGCCATTTGCTTGTTATTGATTAATCCTATTTGAGTTATCTGTCACCAAGGCTGTATTGATGTCTCTGTACTGATAAGAAATCTATATCTCACTAAATATCCAGATTTTCCCCATTAGTTTGCATCTGGTGTAATTTAAAATTTCAATGTACTTTAAATGATGATGTTAAACTTGGGATTGATTTAGGAAAAAAAAAAGATATTTAGGCATATCATGCTGAAGTTATCTGGATAATCTTCACCTCTCTAAGGAGTATTTAGAAGGTTTGGGAATCTTTTAATGAACTTTCCAAGGAGATTCTGCTACTTTCTGCATGTAGTCATTCATGGATCTCAACAGAAGTTGCTATCGTAGAAGTTTTGGGCTTTTTTTTCCCACGATCTTGGGAAAGTAAGTGTGAAAAATGTGACTTTAGCTTCATGCAAGAACCCATTGGTGCTTGAGTTCAGCAAATTGGTTTTTGGACAAAAGAAATTATCTTATTCAGTGGTTCCTCTATAATTTAGACATTGTCTAGCAGATTCCAGATAAAGAAATTGGCTTTTCCTATGGGAGGAGGATGAAGTATGTTTGAACTTGATCAGTATTTTGGTTAGTTTGTTTTTTGTAGTGAACTGAATCATATTTTCAGCTCTATTATAAAGCTGATTGTTGTTGTTGTTTTGTTTAAAAAAAAGTAAAATTGAGGTAAACCATTTTTGGTGTACTGAGGAACTAGTCTTCCAAGGACTTCAGTCTTCTCATTGAAGTTGCTGAAAAAGCTGTGGTTGAAATTATAAGAGGATTGAGCTCTCAACTGATATGAACATGAGTTCTACCTTTGAGAAGCCATCTCCTAGTTATTAAACTTTTAATATACTTAATAGTAAAACATGAGATAATTGATTGATTCAAATTACATGCAGGGAAGATACTGCAGAAATAGAGATGAATTATTGTAAGGAGGATTGGAGAGAAGAAACATTCATATAAGATATCATTCCAATTCCAGCAAAGGGGCACTGCAGCTCCCTTTTGCTCAGTTTCAAGTCACATTCCTGGGAGTGTGTTGGGCTTCTCCAATCACTCTGCTTAATTTCTACTCCACCTCTTGGATGTACTTTCTTCCAGAAATGACTGGCTGTGTGTGGACACACCTGTATTTGGTTCATTATTATCTTAAGCAATTGCGGTTTTGCCACTGATGTGTTTAGTAGATAAGTTTAAAAAGTGCTATTTATTTAGCCGATAATTGTAATCCTGGAAACAGGATCTGTTGTTTGTTTCATTGTAAACCTAGCTGCAGTGAAAAGTTACCCTTAGGCACTGACAGCTGAAAATTTCTAGGGCTGGGACTGTGGTGAAGTTCTGAGACAGCTGTTCTTCAACATTTTTTTCAGTGGGCACATGTGTCTAAGTGGAGCCTATAGTAAAAATGCACCACTGGTTTTTTTCTCATTTGAACTTGGGTTAAGTTTTATTATATTTACTTGTATTTGAAACCTATTCAGTCAGGTTTGAACTGTACAAGAACTATCACCGATCACATACTAGAATGCTATACTGAGACACTAACTATTCTTTTATCTCAAAAGATCGTGTTTTTATAGACACTGATCTCTTAATATCTTTAGGATAAATGTTTTTGCCACTGCTCAGATGTAGGCCATTGTTAACTTACACACATTTTCCCCTTACTCCTATGTGACTTATCTAGCTTTTTTTTAAACTATCACTTGGAAACGCAGCATAGTTATGATATACAAATCTGTCTTAGAATTTGCCCAGGCTTTGCTTGGCACAAAAAATTGGGACAATACAGCCAGACCTATATATTTCTATGTATTTGTCCTGTCTCTTGACATAGAGTACCGTAAAGGCAGGTTTCTTTTTTTTGTGCAGTTTCTTCAAATGTCTTTCCAGCAGCTACAACTCTCTCACTATTTTGTGACTGCAAGAAAGTTTCCAGTTGTACATGTGGTAAGCTCATGTCGCTGGCAGCAATACACCAATATTCTTCACACTTCCTTAAATCAAAGAACCATCTAACCTTTAAAAAAGATCGATTGATTTGTTTGAATTTTACTTTTTTTGGTAGGATAAGTAAATTCCTAGTGTTAAGTAAGATAAATTTTTATTGCTTACAATATTTCAATGTTATACACACTGTAAAAATGAGACCTGCAGCTTTGGATAGATTCAGATATTTGTGAAATCAAGATCTAGAAATGAATTTCATATTCTAGTTTTCTGTCTGTGTAGAAATTGTTTTAGTTTCTAAGGAGATCAGGTCTGTGCTTACTGAACATGCTGGCAGGAACGGTAAAACATTCATGCCAACCACATGGGAATATCTATATGTGTCTTAAAAATAATTACACATTGAAATAACTTTAACCTTACTTCTTAAGACTTACAGAATCCTAGTGATATGTTTTATGGTACTGCGGAGGTGGAGAGTTAACAAAATAGAACTGATTACCCAAAACCTCTAAATGCCTTGTTCTCTGACTGTTTCTGTTGGGATGCTAAGCCACTGGTAGCATTTGGGAAGAATTTAACAATCAATTGCATCATAAACTTTTCATTACTTTTCTCATTAGCCAAGGTTTCTGAAGATGCAGAAAAGAGGTTGTTTTAGAGGAACTAATATATTTTAGGTGCCAATTTCAATACTAATATTCAAAAGCAGAAAATGAGATCTTTCACTTCACTGTCCAAACCTTCTAATATGTGTGAGTCAAATGCTTTTTTTCTTAGAGTTGATAGGAATAGTTGATAGAGAACAGAGCAGACCTGCCATAACCAAAACCTGTTTTCTGGCTGACTTCTTATCAAACTATTGAGAGGCCAAAGGCAACACTGGTGTTTAATTACAAGCAACATGGATTGTGGACTTAAGAAAGCAGCAGTAGCAGGAAGCCTGTAAGCTGTCAACCTCAGAAACAGGAAAGAATCTTCTACCTAGAAACAGAACCGATGATTGATATGAATGTAGGAAACTAAGGTGCTCCTTAAATTGATTAGTTGGAAAACCTGGAAGAGGGGAAAAAAGAAAAAGAACCAGAAATGGGTGAGAAAATATTGAAGTAGAAGAAGAAAGATAAACCTTAAGAGCAGCTCTTGCACATGTTTTGCTATGTGCTACCTCTGGGTAGCCTATATACCTGTGTAGGGTAGGGTTTAAGATGGTAAAGAGAATAGTTAATAGTTCTGACCTTCTCTTTGCCTGCCTAGTAGAGCAAACTGCAGGCTTCAGTTTCCTCTTAAAGGACTAAAACTGGGTTTGCTTCCTTGACATGATCTAGTATTGCTGGTTCATTTTCTAGAGGACTGTGATTTCTGCATAACTTGAATTCTCTGCATTGCAAAAATGAAAAAAAGTTATTGATCTTTAAGAACAAAATTTTGAAATTTATAGTCATAATTCACTGCTACTAGGTCATATTCAGGAGGGTTTGTTTGTTTTTTGTTGTTTTTGTTTGTTTGTTTGGAGTTTTTTTCCCCTGTTTGTTTTTGAGGGGGGTTTTTGTTAGTTTGAATCACTTTTGCATGTTTCAAGCAAGGTGTGACATCCTCGGTCCTGACATTTCTCATTGCTAAAAGTATTCTTCTTGCTAAGGGTCAAAGCAAGATCATTACACCTCACAAGTGCTGAGCTTTTTAGTTTGTTTCAGGGCAAAGGACTTGGGGGAAAAAAAGAGAAGATTATCAGATGGCAACTATGTCTATAAGCCTGAAGATCATTTGGTGAGATCCATTTTCTATTCCATATTTCATCTATGAATAGGAGTCTAAAAATGTTGGTGTGTTCTGGTTACTATATGCATTTTTGTATAGCACTATTTATTATACTTGTGTTGGTTTATGCTTCATAATCTTCATCCATTATCTAATGTCCCCCATTTAGACAGATATCTAAGAATATTTTTGGCTATGTTTTATGTCAGACTTGTTTATCTGAGACTGCTAAGTGACTAGCTGCAGTGAAATCTTTCAGACATAGATGAAAGATAATGATGTTTGCTGTTTGCTAATATATTTGCCCAGATGAAGTATGTGGAATTGCTACCTGAGTGTCAATTCCTTGTCTAAGTCAACTGTAGTAACAAGGTCAGGTTGGAGGATTTCTGAAAGATGTGACCAATCAGATGATTGAGAGTTTCCTGAAGACCTCAGAGCACCAATAGTGCGTTTGAGCTCTGTAGCAATGACAGTGGGAGAATTTCTGAAAAGGCTGTGAATAACCTATGGATAGGAATCACGACTAAAATGGTTGCTTGGATGCATGTTGTATCTTTTCATCCAGATAACCATACAAGCCTAATTCTGGAGCTCACAACATTGTGCAGTCATTTTCAGTCATGCAAAATGCGTGTAAAATTCTGCTATTTATTATTTAGTAGATTAGTAGTGAGTGTTTAAGTAGATGTGTTTGCCTGTATCAAACAGTTCAAGTATGTAAATATTTTCATTGCAAGCATGAAAGAGGTACATCTGCAAATATTGGTTATTGTTCACGTAGATTGTGCACATAGGGGAGACAGTTCACAAAGATTTTTGGTCCGGAGAAGTAACTGCAGTCCTAAACCACATGAAAGAAAAGGATCTTCTGGCATTATATCTAGAAAAAGTCAGAAGTGCCTGAATTTAACCTAATGTTCCTTGTCAGGAAGCCAGAATTTACACATTCCAGAACACTTCTTGCAGGTAGGTTTCTGAAACCTGACTTCATGTACTAGAGTCAATATTTGTTTCAAAGTCTAAAGACCACCTGTACTGTAAACATCTGTGAAACACTGCAGCAAAAGCTCTTGGGTAATAGCTGTTTAAATGCATCTGTCTGTTTCCTAAGGTACTGAGGAAATCCTAATGGTTTACATATATACACTAATTATGTCACAAGACATGGGAAAGCAGAAGATTGTACAGATCCCAAGCTGATGGAAGACAGCTGAAGTTCTGTAGCCAAATTGTTTTTGAGATACGGATCTATGGCTGTAATAGGGTTTAGTCTGGGCAGGTGATCAGACCTGTCACTAACAACAAGGAGTCCTAAGGAACTGTGACTGTGTGTATCTGATGTGTGGTCAGACCCCACGTGGGTGAAATTAGGTGTTATGCTTTGTTACATATCAGATGATAATCTCTCCCTAGCCAAACAACTGTCCATAGCAACTGGAGAAAACATCCAGTGAAAATATATAAGTGGCTTTTTGTAAGATTAGAGGGAAACTATTTCTAATTGAAGACTTTTTCATACCTGTCTGAGGCATAACTTTAATAACAAATGGGTTAATTCATTAAATTTGCTATAATAGATTATAAGCAAACTCCTAAATCTGTAAGTTGTACATTGCTACATTTGCAAACTGAAAAACTTTTAGCTGTGTGAGGTGAATATGGAGCAGGGCTCTATTCTTTTTCTTCTACCCTCTCATCAATTATGAAGAAAACAGAATTCGTGGTTCTCTTGTAATAGGTCTTCACATAAGGATGTAACACAAACAAATGGTTGTGCATTGCTCTGTAGAGCTTCTAACTTAAAGAGGAATACTGCCAAAGACTAAGGGCAGAACTAATTATATGCCAATATAGTTTAATGCTGTTTAAATGAAGCAATAGAAACCAATCAGGGAATGGAAAACTTTAAACTTTAACTAATCTTGCTATTTTTTCACTATTTCTGGTACAACAGTGCTTATTTATGAAGACCGATTAGGAAACAGACTTTTTAATTTATCATTATCTTAATGTTGAGACATGAACAGCTAGAACTTTTATTAAGTGAATAAATAGAAAGTTAAGTTGTATTCACTTCCACTTAGTGTTCCAGTTCTAAGGAACAAAAGCACCCAATGAAATTAATACCAATGTACAGCTGATTTTAATTAAATCAGAATTTAGCTCCCAGTATAGCTTTAAATATTTCCTAAGAAGCAAATTAAAAATTGCCATTCATGTATAAAGCCCTGGCACATGTTACTTCATGACACGGCCATGAGCAACCTGTTCAAGTTGGTCCTGCTTTAAGCAGAGGGTTGGACTTGAGACTGTCCAGCCTCAAATATTCTGTGATTCAGTGATATGTTGGAATAGAGAATCTGAGGTCAAACAGATACAAAGAAGACAAGCATATGGGAGAGAAGCAAAATTAATTATTTTCTTTGATATTAGTAATGGAAGAACCTGGAAAGACTTCTTAGGGAGTGGAAGGGAAGGCAAATGGGAGATACAGCAGAGGATTTCTCTAAAGCTGAAGTAACTGTGGAATGAGTTACATAGAATTCACATCAATAAATTACTCTGGCTGGAATTGATATTCATTCAAAAAGTCATAAAACCCCTCCAGAATGAAAGAGCTGAATTGCTTATGGTCCTGTGCAGGGGTTGCAGGAGGTCCCATACTCCCATCCTGAGAAGGTGAAAGGTGATATGAAAGAATAAATGCTGGTGATGAACACCCATCTCAGGGCACATACTACCTTCTTTCCTTCTACAATCACAGCTCTTTTTTTGTGCTCTGCAGTATGTATTTTACCCTGAATGTTTATGGGCCAGTGAAATTCTGCACCTGCACATCTGAGAGGCCTTGAGCCACTCTCAGGTAACAGTAGATAGGGGTGAGAGTTTTGGTGCAGGTGGGAAGCAGGTCTTGAGTTCCCGATGTTCCGACTCTTTTGCTCTTGTCATTCTTCGTGCAAAGGAAGTAAACACAACTTGACAAATCTTCCTTATATTAACTTCAAAACCCAAACAAAACATCTACCTCCTCCAAACCAAAATGTACAAAGACAAGGCTTTTCACCAGCAAACCAAAAAGCCCTCAAAGACTTTCCCATGAAGCTGGCATAATTAGTGTGTATTTCCAATAGGAAAAAAGATGGACTGCAGTAACTCCTTGAAAATGCATTATTTGTGTTATACGAAGTACTAATAGTAAACAGTACAAATGAAACTAATGATAAAGTTGTTTTTCTAAACACCTGCAAAACACCTGCCTGTTTTGTTTCCACAGGCATTACTTAGGAGTAAATTCTAAAAATAGAATAGCAAAATAAGAAACTTAGACTGCTAGACTGTTAAACAGTTAACTTTGGTAAATAATGTCTTATCTGAGGATAAAGATGAGAGAACAAAACAGAATTTTTTAGGAAAATACTTTCTGACATTATTTGTGTGCATGAAGTATTTCTGTATAATGCTAAACTTAAGCATGTTTGGGGTCTTCAATAATAGTGCAATTGTAACTTTGAGTTACTGTGAAGTGTGTGCTCTCTACAGATCAAGTAATTGTCCTCAACATTTGAAAGCTGTGATGAGAAAGACAAATTACATAACTTAAGAAATGGTTTTCCCTTGACTGATTCTGGTAATGTGGAATTTCTTCAGAGTTCTTGGTACAATTTACTCCTCACTCAAAAGAAGCTACCTAAGAGTTACCATGATGACAGAACAGTAGGAGTGGAGTGTAAACCTGTACTGCTTCCAGGGAAAACACGATTCTTCTGTAGCTGAAGTAAGGATAATCAAATCTTAAAGAAACCTACTTTCTTCCTTCCCCCCTTCTGCTGTGATAGTGTTTTATCTGTAATCTATTGGCTCAAACCTGTTTTTTTATTTCTACAAACAGAATTCATCCACATGGACTCCATATTCAGTGGTTTATAACCTAGAAGGGACATTAATAGTGACAGATAGGGAGGTGGAAAAGAGTAAATAAAAGGAAAAAACCAAGAAGGAAGGGAAAGCTGTTTTAACCAAATGGATATAAGCAAGAAAAAATGAGGGAAAGGGACAAAAGCAAATAAGGGCAGAAAAAGAGAAAAGGAGAAGCGAAATGATCTAATGAGAATGTCATGAGGTCTAGGGCCAAGGCAATTATCAATCATATCTGTCTAGACAATCAGCAACATCAATAGCCATCACTGATAAAATTTTTTTTGTCGGTTTTATCTTGTTCATTACTTTCAGGGTTTCCTCAGGACTGCAGTAAACCCATGCCCCCTGGAAGGTGTTAAGTGTTTGTTATATGAACTAGAAGAGGGATTGTTTTGCAGAACTGCTGTGAGTAAAAGTAGCAAAATCACGGGATGATTCCAAATAAGAAGACTCTTTTAGTTAATGGAGAGATTCACGTTGCTATTCCAGTGGTTGCAATTGACATTATACTTGATATAGAACAATACAGAAGGACAGTGTTGTTTTCACATCATTATTTTCCTACCTTTAGCCTCATTTCAAATCACAGGAGTCATACTGATTTAGAAGATTTTACCATTAGGTATCTTCTGAGTAAAGGTCATAGAATGTGGTCAAAAGATAATACAGTGCAATGGACAATATATGAACCATAAAGAGATTTACAGAGAAACTTTATTAGGGCTCAGTCTACAAAGCTGTTGATTATGGCAAGAAATTTAGTAAAAAATTTGGAAGCCTTTTACATTGAGTGATGAGTCATTATCAATAAAATGGAATAGGGAAAAATGCTGATATCAATTGTTCTTTTATTATCTTTTTTTTTCTTTTTCATAGGTAGAAGTGCTGTGCCAAAAAGACATGATGGTAGAGCACTATCTTACCTTTTTACAAATATTTAAAACGTCACATTGTCTGGGAAGAGAAGCCAAATTAAACATTACCTAACCCTACAGTGCTTTAGCATTGGTCACAGATGTCCTAGAAGAGAACACGCTGAGGTGCTTCATGGCCATAAAGCAAATGTGTTACTCTTGATAGTAAAACCACAGCCAGAAGGAGTTCAAACTGGAGTTTTACGTTAATACACAAGTTAATGTGAAATGCAGCTGTGCAACATTTCTAGAATACTAGTACCAGAGAGGATGTTTCAATGAAGGGGTGACCTCCAAAGGTTTCAAGGGCCAATGCATTTAACTAGACGAAAGTGAGTCCAGAAAGAGGAACTGTAAGAGCAAAATAAACAGTGGTTCTGCAAATTCATTCCTTGTATATGTCAAATTACTTGTGCTCTTCAGCATTTTAGGAGCTTGTGGGGTTTTTTATTTTTATATGTGATAAGAGAGGCTTGCTTCTGCATTCTGCTTGAGTGTTACCTTCAAAACATGAATGCTGATTCCCAAACTGCAGTTTCTTTCCTTAAGTGGCATTGAAAACCAAGAAAGAGCAAAACCAGAAGCAAGAGAGAGTGGAACTCACATACTGACAATATTTGATCTTGTCTGCCTTTACTGGATGATTGTTTGTAGAATTAGAAAGAAAACTCTTAACGTGTACAAAAAGGGTTTTTGTTAGTGTTGTTTCATCCATTTGAACTGTCTTTTGGTGCTTCCATAAGGAAAAAAACCAAAACAAAACATTTGTATTTAAGAATGAATGTTTATCACTTCAAAAGATAATATGGTTTTTGAATGTTACCCATTAACTAGAGTTAATATAGTTAGTTATTCTTTTTCTGGGTGTGTTAATGCGTAATTTATTCAGGCTGGGATAGTATCTTCATGTCAGTGAGGTGATGACAGTTTACTGAAGGGAAAGCTGTCCCTCATAATGTGTATCTGATGTGTGCATTGTCTATGTTTTTAAGTGCAACCAGTGCTCATCATTCCATGAGACAAATTGTCTACAGTGGAAAACCAAGAAAAAGTATTTGAAATGAACGATTTCATGTCAATGATAATTAGAGAGGGGCCAATGCTGCAGCAGATTACTGGTGAACATTCACAGGCACTGGTTATTGTTTTCAGGAATGTAGGTAGAAAGTGAAAATTGTAATGAATTCTTACATAACTATGTAGTAATGCAGCAATTTGAATCCAAGGAACCACATAAAGGGATTTTTGAAAATAATCAAGGGTTTGAAGTAAACTAAGTAGGTTTTTAAACTGAAGAGTGATAAGGGTTTCCTTGCTGTCAAAATGGCAAAGGCTGTGAAACACATTCCAATCCAAGTATCAGATACACTTTGAATGATTAAGAGAGTATGATTCAGAGTGCATTGAAGTAAAGATAAATTTTTATTTTGATAGACCTGTGCTTTGGTCTGAAATTGAGATTATAATGGTTCTTCTAAAGGAATTAAGGATACTTACACTTATTTATAATGGTGCACTAGTGCTGGGCGTTTTGTGGATCTACCCCATGGTTATGTGTACTTGTTTGTTATATAGTAACTTAAAGACACAAATACCCACAAAATGCCATCTGTCTTCATACCTGGCATACCATCAGCATATTCCAGACACGAGCCATCTGACAAGTAATTTTCCATAGCAGAACTGATCGCTGAGTGCTCAGATGTGGCAGTTACTATATTTCTAAGGGTGATGGAATATAGTATGAGAATATGATATAAAAATATAATTGAAATGGATCTGGATTAATAGAGGACGGGAAAAGAAAAGCAAAGGCTGAAGGGAGAGGTCTGCGTAAATGAGAAGCAGCCGACATGCTAGATCTTATCAGATGTTTTGTCTCTCAAATGTGCATGAAGAATGAATGAAAATGAAAAAAAATACTCAAGGAGAGAATTCTACTTTTCTAGAGATGTAAAAGTAAAAAGAAAAACAGTTACATGACACAGAGCAAACTTCTTCCAGTCTTTTGTTAGGGAAGACATGTATTTACAGAGTTTGTATCTATCCTGTAAAACCTCAACACACAGCTGGAAGCACGACATAGATCCCAGAATTAGGGGAGAGACAAACTGAAGAAGCAGCTGCCCTGAGCTGTCACTAGTACTCCTGCATTACCTGGTGCTCGGTTGAATTGCTAAGATAACCAATCTTGCACAGGTTGAATCCAGAATGTTTCCAAGAACTGAGTTAATTAGTGAAATATCCTAAAGTTAACTAACTCCCCTGCCAAGAAATGGGCTCTTCCATTTTTCTCACATGATTATCTAGGCACTTTCACTTTTCCATATATAGGAGCAGCTCAGGGACTGACAGATCAGGCTAGGTAGGGATACAGACTTCAGGCACATGCGTTCTCCTTGTATGCATGCACAGATGCAAGCATAGGCTGCTTTCACACACTGAAATTAAAGTTAACGAAAGAGGTAACAAGTGAAGACAGTGATAGTCCTGCTGATAAAGAACCTTCTCCTTAAAGAGAAGGCACTAAAGGTAGAACTCTTCAACCACTGTTTATAGTAATTCATCAAGAAAAGCATCACAATCATGAATGGACCAGTGGATGGTTTATGTGATTACACGCTGGATGATGAAGGGGCTTTCATGTTCACATCGGAGTCAGTGGGAGAAGGACATCCAGGTAAGAAACCAGCTCTGGTAAAAGTGTAAAAAGAATAATATTTCCATTTAAGATGAATCTTTTAAAAGTCTGAAGAAGAATTCATCTGCTATTAATCTTATTATGGAAATTATATGTAACAGGGTGCTTTTTACTTCTTTTCTACTTACTGGACTTTGTCCACACAAACTACAGGACTGCTATAACTAGTGTGCTTCCAACAGTTTATGTGCTTTTGCAGGGTGTGTGTTAAACTGAGGAGGGCACTGAGGTTTATGTTGCTGCTCCTTCCTTTTCATCTGAATTTCTTTCAGTATTCCTGTGGAGACACTACTGTGTTTCTGACAGACTCAAGTTTCACATATGGATAAGAATGCATAGCTTACTTCTCAAGTTCTATATCATTATGGGCCCAGTGAAACTGTCCTCCACATATGCAGTGCTCTAAAACTGTCACCCCATGACTGGAATATCCCTAAGCAGCCTGTTTTAAAGCCTTTTTTTAGTGGTCCCAGCAGCTGTACAGGGCAAAGTCGCTGATTTCCAACCCCACTGACTCCCGCCCCTTTCCATCATCTGATGCAATATATGGAATTGCTTAAGCAAATAGTGGACAGTTATTTGCTAAACTTTATGTATGGTCAGCAGAGATTAGTTCAATTTTATTGAAAACAAATATTCATCCACCATAAACATGTACCTTATGTCAACAGCAACTGTTCTCTCAAGTGAGGCCAGGGGACAATAGGCTATTTGATGTCCTGAAAAGTGTATTTGTTTTAGAAGCCAATTTGGTGGCCTGTACTTTTTGCTATAACAAGGCTTTTTCAGGTCTGTGTTTATGTTATGTGAGTAACTCATAAATGGGTGGAATAACATAGTAGAGGATAAAAAGGTCGGCAATGAGAACTTTGTGTCTATAGTTCTGATACTCCTATGATATAAACTTATTACTGCAGATCAAATCCATGGCTGATGCAATTGAGTATATCTCCATCAATGGGGAGGCAGCTACATCAGGTTGAACCAGTTGGGGTTCTTTCTGATGTAACACAATCAGAAAATGACAGTCAGGTTTTGTCCTTGGGACATAGGTCCTATCCCAAATTTATGTATAATTACATCCAGCGTCTGTAGTGCTGTGTAGTTTCATAGGAAAAATAACATTATACAGTATAGTAATTTAAAACGGATGATGGTATTTCCAAAGATTACAGGTCACAATTTATGCTACTCTAATAATTATTTTTAATCCCCTAAGGGCAATAATAGGGAACTCTCAGAGCAGAAAGAGTTCAACTGAGTCCCCAGGTTTAGCTTTGTCCCTTGATTTCTTTCCTTTACCGGTTCTCTTTTTATCTTGTTTCTTGTTTCAGAATTTGGCCTATTTTTCAGTTCTTCTTCACATTCTCTTCTTTATTTCCAAACACTCCATAGGCCCTCAGTAGCTTTCCTTTAAGGCCCATGAACATTATTTTTCTCCTGTGTTAAACATTGGGCAGGCCCTTGAGAAACACTGTTAGCACTTGTCTGATGTGTGTGCAGCCTCTTACCCTGGTGGGTCTCTGGGTACTCTGAGATGCGAAGTGACCACTTGGGAGATTAGTTGTGGAGTGAGTAGAAAATGGAAAATTACTTGGATATTTTCAAGACTGTGATGCTTGTACTTTCTTAAACAGCCTAGATCTCCATCTAGGTACTGAAAACCCAAACCCTATGGCAAAGGGAAGATACAGATTTTCCAGATCAAAGGAGGACAGGTTAGCAGTAAGTAACTCTGGGTGGTCCAGCAAATTCTTGTTCCTGAACATAGCCCAGCAAGGGAGCTTAATTGTCTCAGCTGTAGCTCTTAGTTCCTGACAGCAAATTGATCTCCCTTACATCCTGGCCAGCTCCCCCTTTTCCTTCTCTGGTTTTGCACAAGAGGTGTAGACATGCCGCTAGGATTTTATCACCCAGGAAAATCTTGGCTATTTCTTAAAATGGGGCCCAGTGCCTGGGGCTGCAGTTGGGCTTCTGACGTTATCTGTAGCAATAGAATTTTATTGTGAGTTTTGATTTCCTCTGTTTATACAAAATGGGTAATTTGCGTGTTCTTGATTATTTCTCTTCCGTATCTGATAGTATAATTTTGCTAGAGGGCATTATGTGAAGTAAAGATCCTGAACCACATCTTTGTCTGGTGGAAATCTGAATTGTTCTGATTATATTAGCTGAGGACTGAAAGCTTTAATGGAGACCTCCTCCTTAATGCACAAAGCAGGAGAAATTACGTGCTTATTTATTTCATATGAAGAACTGCCTTATACCTGTGCAATACCTAGAGCTGGGTGTCACTGAGAAGCCCAAATTCCATGGAAGCAAGTAATAGCTGCCAGTAATTGACATACAGGTATTACCTCTGCTCCCCAAAGATATTATAGAAGACTGTTTATCCCATCTTCTCAGTCCAGATTCTTGGGTGTAACATTTGGGAATCTCTTTCAGATCTTTAATCACTTAGTCATTTAGTGGGGTAAATTCCAAATTCTCTGAAGAGGTCTGCATTTCAACAGAATAATAAAAGCACACAGACAGTAGCATGACCAAGAGAAAGATTCTGTATTTAGTTAACTGGTTTTTGTCACTGCTCCATTTTGCTTAGTCCAGTTGTGTCTGTGCTGCATGATGGTTTCACGGTGCTTTGAAAGGCATTGTGTGTTTCTCTGCCCCACAATATCTTACAGATGTCAAACCACTTAGGAATAACTCCTTCCCCTATTTGGTGTGACTTCAGGTGGAATTTCCTGCAAACTAAATGTCGTTCAGTTTTCCAGAAACTATCAAGTAATCTTTAAAAATATAAGAGCAAACATCTGCTAAAAGCACCCTCAGATTTTCAACCATATTAAAAGCATATGTTTATCTCCTAGATATTCACAGGGGAAAAAAAATCATGAAAGAAAAAAAGCAAACCAGAAAATGCAGATCTTTCCAGCAAGTTGATGCTTGCAT